TTGGAGAGAGGAGGATTTGGAGGACGCAGGGCCGTAGTAGTAAGACGAATCACCCGGGTTTTCGGGAGCGTAATCGTCGTCGTCGGCGGAGGGAGGCGTTGGAGGGTAAGCTAGTTGGTGAGCGGAAGGACGCCTTGATCTACGTGTTGGAGCCATTGGCGTCTAGAAGGGTGTTATAAACGGGGGAGTGGTGGAGAAAAGAGGAAGTGCAGGCCAAACAAAGGCTCCAAATAGGAGACAGAGGGGATTCTGTGAAAAGGGGCAATGCGCGGCCGCGCCAGCCACGCCTTGTGATGGTAAAACAGAGAAAACAGGAAACGTGTACTGCAATTTCGACTCTGTTTCTGACGTATTCAAGATCTAGAAGTTGGTGATGGAGGGGTGGGAGGCGTGTGGGGGAAGCAGACTAGAGGCACTAGCTTGATCACCACCACGAGCGCACAAGTATCCCATCTCGCTTTTAACTCAACTTGTTCACCTTCCAAAGCAGGATTAATGGAGCACGAGCGCGAAACAAACCAGACTGCCATTGTCAGAATTGATTTTGACTCTGCATTCACCCATTTGGCTGCTAGATCACAGCCCAGATCAGGCGCATGGCGATGAATTCGACTTAGCAGTGGGAGTTTACTGTTTTGCTGTTTCTGGAAGTGTAAGTGCTATACATGGGGGGTCTCGTCTAACCTTGTACGCCTAGCAGCGAATTCATCGCTTTCGGCGGAACAGCAACTCGAACAGCCAGCGGCAAGCTCAACATCTCAATCCTGTGGCGCTGCTCAGGGATCAGCCTTGGAAAACAATACCTCAAACAACGAACCCCTTTATTGCCCATCCCTGAATGCTACTGCCGCCCTCCCGCCCCTGCGAGTCAGTTGGATTCGAGAGCAGTAAAGGCGCCAACGACGACGCTGCAGCGCAGAAGGCACACAGAGAGGACGCCACTATGACGACTTTGATCCGATGCTTGGGTCGTGAGGGATCGAAGACGAAGATGAAAAGAAGGGCGAGGTATGCATAATGCAGGACCTTTTTTTTTTTTTCTAAAAGGGTGTTCCTGGTCGCGACTATTCCTATTCGCATTCACTTGTCCATACCAGACATTACAATTCTCCACAAAAATATCACACTACTCGACACGAGTGCGTCTGGCAGAAAATTCCTACGCCATCTGTCGTTCGAGGCCACGTCTCCCGTGTCTATCATCATCAAGCGTGCAAGTTCAAAGAAGTTACTCAGGCAACATTCGCTATTCATTATCATCTACAACTTCTCAGAATAGACCTATGCCGTCATTATTATCCCCCCGGGAAAGCCCTAATCCGTCGCTGTGTAGCACAGCTACACTTGTAACCGCGCGACTCCCCATACTTCCTATTCCAAATGCTGTCCATCAGGAACGAGATTTCTACCATTCATTCGAATTAATCAAGGTCGGTATTCTCGGTATACTATGGCACTGCTCACTGTAAACGTACGCCCACGCGACGTTGATTATAATTTGGCGAATGCCCCATATGTTATCAATTGGCCACCATCAATCACAATGTTCGCCGCCGTAACGTGCGCTGATGCTGGACTCGTGAGGAACAAGACCAAACCTCCGATATCAGATGGAGCGCCGACACGTCCTGTTCATTCCACAAATCAGCTAAGAAAGAAGCACTTTCGGCGCTTTCTACGCACCCATTGGCTGGGCCATCTCGAATGCCTCTTTGGCCTGCTTCAGCCCGAATGCCGTCATCTTGGAGGGAAAAACTCTGCAAATATGGATTAACCGCGGCCAGAAAAAGAAGAACAGGAAAGAAGGTGGGAGACGGAGACTTAGGGGGACAGTGGAGGTTCGCGTCAAGACGGAACAGAGAGAGGCAGGCATAAGGGGGGAGAGGGGACGGTAGTCTGCTCACCCTGGCAGAACTGCGTTAACTGTGATAAGCCTTGGTGCCAGCGTGTTCGCCAGCGTATTAGTGAGGTGGTTCACTGCCGCTTTAGAAGTATGGTCTGTGGAATCCGGATCGTCAGCGACAACCGGCCCTTCTCACTCTCCAAACTAAACTCACAGCTCCAGAGCCCGTGTCCTTCGCCGGCCAGTCGACTGTCAGCGGCAGATACGCTGATACTTGCGACAGAGGAGACGTTGATAACCCGTCCAGGGTCAGTCGAGGTCGCATCTTTGGCCAGAAGGTCTGTCAAGCTGTTGATCTCTTGTCAGAATTCCCA